CTCAACAACTTGAATTACATTTCAAGACAAATCTAAGTTAGAAAACAAGAAATAAAATAACAAAAGCTTTTTTTTCTGAATTGGAGATTATTTGTCAATACTTTTATAATTACATTTCTTAAATACAATGTATATGTAATCAGCCGCAGGGGAAATAAAAAACCAAAATGTGTGTAGCTTCACCTCCCCCTTTTATCAAAGCTGTCCGCAGAAAACTCATAATCCCAGGTTACCACCACTTATAATGATTCCCACAGTTATCTTTTACCAATATTCTTGGACTGGTAGTAGTTTGTATCATATATGTAGTCGTACTCGGGTCCGAGCCAATTTGGTTTACGGCACTCTTCCCCTCTCTCGCAAGCAACAGCCAGCCAAATGCTATCATCAGTTTGTTGTTGCTCAATTTCTAGACGACTTAGTTGATCTCTTACTTCAACAGAAATAGCACTTGCCATTTCCATCTCCTTATTATTGATTTCATCTTCAATACTGAGGAATGGTTTGTCAGTTATATCACCACCAGACTTTACAATCTCGGTGCTAATTAATTTACCTTCAGAAAGTCCCATTTCTGCTCCCCAAGAGAAACTTTCACCTTTGTCCATCACAGAATTGGTAAAACTCTGTTGAACATTGTCACTTACTTCTTTTAGCATTGCACCAATGTTAGAATGCACCTTTACAACAAGGTTTTGCATGTTCTCTTCTACGGCCTGGATATACTGAGTCATCTTACCCATACTTTCGTTTTCTCGATTTGAAATATTATCATCAATATTTTTAACAACCCCTCTCATATAACTTTCAACTTCTTTTTCAAACACTTTAAGACTTCCTTCAACTTCTTTAACAGAAAGTCTTAAACTACCATCTATTTCTTGCTCCCTTAACTTAATCCTAGTTTCTACGTTCGATGCTAGACTGTCCAAATTTTTAATCACTTTCTTCTCTGCTTCTCTTACATCTTCACCAACTATTGCTTCAAATTCTTCGAGCTTCTTATCTATTCTAACTTCATTGTCACTTAAATGTTTGATCACACTGTTGTTTAGATTTTTGAAGTTTTTAATTAACTCCTTGATTTCTAGCATGTCACTTACTTCAGGTTTATAACAGGGGTTTCTAGAACTAGCATTATCTACTACACTACAATAAGCTTTATAGAAATCGCTTCCAAGTTCTTCATCTGGAAAGAAGTTGTCATATCATTTCAGATAGTTTTCTAATCTAGTTTTCTCTTCTGCGTAGCAACTTGCCAACATTATGGTATTTCTTTATATAATTCATTAATTTCAAATGGTATTTTTTTATATAATTCATTAATTTCAATTATTTTAACAAAATATTTTTAATCACCAAAAACTTTAAAGTATATAAAAATACATGCTGCCATATATTTTCTTTCTTGATTCTATAGAAATAGTCAGTTTTCTTTATGTTTCTGCCAAAAAATTTTAAGTTCATTATACGTATATATCCTGGGGAAAAATCCTAAAATTGTGACTGACCTGGAAGGCCGATCTACCAGGTTTAATTTTAACCTCCACAATGTAAGCAAGTTGCTAGTAAACTATTACAGCTATATACCAGAATGTGAAAAGAAATTCATAGTTTCTAAACTAGACATTCAATAAATAAAAGTGCAGTGAGTGATTAAAACAATTTATTTTGGCAAGAAAGGCCCTGCTTAATAACCCCAAAATTGATAATGAACAGTTCCAACTATGGAGGCTGGACAAGTTCATTTACGACATTCAGCAGCTGGTTATTCAAAGAGATTGTTCAAATCAAATTATTAAAGGGGTATCTCTAACTTATAATAAAAGATATTTTCACACACTTAAAAACATCTTACTACAATGTACCTGAATCAGACAATTATCATTATATCAGTAGAAAGCACAATGTGATTTAAGTTCACATCTTAACTTTTGCTTTACATACATAAATTGTAATATTATTCAGGAGCTTTACTTTTTTTCAAAAACAAACAAACTAAAAATTATAGAAAAATTATTAAATTGAGGAAATCACTGAAATAAACATAATTATATATTTTATACACACATATATGTATATATGCTTCTTAGCTAGTCTAATGGTCAAGAGTAACTCCATCCCTACAAACCATAAACAAGAGCACCGCTAGGCGGAGCATTATATGCCCGAAAGTAGTCTTTCTTTTAGTGAGGAAGACATGGGAATTAAATACAGTATTACCTCCTTCAAAAAGCAATCCTCCTTTATAGCTGAAGAACATTCATGTATATATACAGTTGCTGTTTTCAAAGCACCACCATCAAGTTGTTATCTTGTAAGTAAAAATGATACAACGGATGGACACCAAGACGTCAGGGGTATAAAGCTGTTAATCCTATAAAATTTTACAGCTGTAGTTCGATTAATACTTGAGTTATTGAGCGAAAACTGTTTCCAGTTTAAAGGTGATAGTAATCCCTTGACCTTTGACCTTGTGACCCCAAAATCTATAGCGGTCTTCTACCCAATATGAACAATCATCCTATGAAGTTTGAATACTGTGGGCCAAATGGAACTTAGGTTATGTTACGGAAACCATTTTCAGTATTAAGCTAATAGTGCCCTTGACCTTTGACCTTGTGACCCCAAACTCAATAGGGGTCTTCTACCCAATATGGACAATCATCCTATGAAGTTTGAATACTGTGGGTCAAATGGAACTTAAGTTATGCTTCGGAAACCATTTTACGTATTTAGCTAATAGTGACCTTGACCTTTAACCTTGTGACTCTAAAATCAATAGGGGTTTTTTACCCAATATGGACAATCATCCTATGAAGTTTGAATACTGTGGGCCAAATGGAACTTACAATGTAAGTTATGCTCCGGAAACCATTTTCAGTATTTCGCTAATAGTGACCTTGACCTTTGACCTTGTGACCCTAAAATCGATAGGGGTCTTCTACCCAATATGGGCAATCACCCTATGAAGTTTGAATACTGTGGGCCAAATGGAACTTAAGTTATGGTCCGGAAACCATTTTCAGTATTAAGCTAATAGTGACCTTGACCTTTGACATTGTGACCCCAAAATCAATAGGGGTCTTCTACTTAATATAGACAAACATCCTATGAAGTTTGAATACTGTGGGTCAAATGGAACTCAAGTTATGCTCTGGAAACCATTTTCAGTATTTAGCTAATAGTGACCTTGACCTTTGACCTTGTGACCCGAAAATCAATAGGGGTCTTCTACCCAATATGGGCAATCATCTTATGAAGTTTGAATACTGTGGGTCAAATGGAACTTAAGTTATGCTCCGGAAACCATTTTCAGTATTTAGCTAATAGTGACCTTGACCTTTGACCTTGTGACCCCAAAATCAATAGGGGTCTTCTACTCAATATGGGCAATTATCCTATGAAGTTTGAATACTGTGGGCCAAATGGAACTTAAGTTATGCTCCGGAAACCAAATTGCTAACAGACGGACAGACGGACGCCAGGGGGTATAACATAATATGCCCGAAATTCTTTCGGGCATATAAAAAGAAAATAACATTAACTGAGGAAAATTATTTATAAACTGCACAATGGTATAAAAAATAATGCCAACTATAACTAGAGTAAAAAACAATTGAAGGACAACTCACACTGCTCTTATTGTTTTAACTATGACTGATTGTTACAGTCTCGTCTGCAGATGTTTGAAAATTAACACACACATGTTGCAACATTCATTACCCCATTTATAGCCCTTTTCATGTAAATGTCAACATAATTTTAGAATAATTGTTATATTTCATTTATTTCTTCATACTAATGCCCTATTATATCCTTTATTGCAGCTTATAATATAACATTTCGTCACATGATGTTAATTACTTCCTAAGAAATTTAACCCATTACGCACCATATTTTCTTATACATGATTGTATTGTTCATATTGAATACTGAATATAGTTACATGTACTTGTACAAATGACCTGTGATTTTGGATGATTTCTGGCATAAAATTAAGTGTGAGAAAGAATTTTTCATTCCGAGGAACCTAAGGTGGCAAAACAGTTGAAAATCAAACGACATATATTTATATTATATTTGGTGTTACAACTTATTCACACCATGCCCCCCAGCCCATATTGTCTAAGAAATGGAGTTGGAGTTATTTATAAGGTATAAGGCTGGCAACATGCTTCCTTTATCATCAACTTTCTTAGTCTCATTTATTTTATGTCTTTAAGTAATGATAAGTCATGTAAAAGCGTTTAAATAATTTATATCAAGAAATGCAGCACAAATGACTTACATGAAGCCTCATGTTTATAAACTGATATTTATATGGGATTTTATATGTCTCCATTGTACACTATGGAATGAAATTTTCCTACAACTTTACCCGAGGGATGTCATCAGGACGAGATATTACAAACTTAACGAGAATCTGCTACAATTCTGCTGTGTTCAATGATTTACTACAGTGGCCTACATTGACTGATAAAAACAATATGTATTGATAAAATGCAAATGCAATATTCTATCAAGAACAATCTGAATTATTAACATGTTTAATAAATTAGCATATCAAAGTTCCATTTTAATTTTAGATGTATTATTCATAATGCTATGCAGCTACATGTCTGTCACAATGCCACTATTAAAACTTTAAAGGTTTCATCAGAAACATAGCTTTTATCAATAATTCTCAGATTGATATCCCACCTTTGTTTTATTCATTTATGTGGGGGGGGGGGGGTTTCATAATATATATCTCTAAACAGTTAAAGACTATCAAAAACCTGTCTATGCCAAGCCAGCCAATGAACAGCCCAGCTCATTTGTAAGCCGTACTAGTATTTAACTATTAATACAAGTTAAAAAACCCTAAGAGATTTTAAAACATCTCCATACTCTAGCAAAAACTGATGTAAGCCATTCCCAAGCCAAAACCAGCAGAATAAGGTGGGTGGGGTGTGCAATCACTAGCAGCATTACAAAGCAATGTATTCTTGCTATACCTGGCCTTTTACCCTTGTTTAACACTGGTTCTTTTGGTGGAATTTTATATTTGGTCGGAATTTCATACTTGGCTCGCTTGTTGGTTTCTACGGGGGCAACAGGCTCTGCGTAGCATAGCAACAAAAATAATTAATTTACAACAAGTGTATAATATACTTAAATAATTATTTGCAAGCATGTAATAAAGGAGCCATGTTTTACTAACACTCTCTTTAGAGACCACTATAAGCGTATGTAGACACAGTGATTGTATATTTTGTATTTTTATCATACATATCTGACCAATCTATATTCTTACACCCTTTCAATAGTTAACAATGTGTGACAATTATTCACTTAATTATCTATAAGCTAGCTCGAAGCTCGACAAACCTTGCACTTACAGATCTATCTAAATAGATCATGTTTAAGTAAAATATTGTTTACTTGTTTTGCTGCAAGTTCACATTTAAATCTTAGACTGATGGTGATGAAAGATATTACAAAAGTCACTTGTGAAGATTTTGCGGCACCCCAGTGCTGTCTTATCATGATCTGCACTGTTTGCTTTAACTGTCAATAACATTTCTGAAACTTTCCCCAAGATATGATGAAAGGTTTTGTCCAGATTGAAAGATGGACAAGTTAATTTAAGATATTTATCTTGGCAATGGTTAAGATTACAGTTGAGGTGAGACAAGTAACCAGTATTGAAATTATCTTTTCATGGTAGCTGTAATTAACAATAATGTTGATCAAACTACCAAATATATAATGAATATGTGTAGACATATTGGCTGCAGTAACACCTTCATAAACATGAAAATACAATATAAAATAGAGTCAATGGCCTCATAATTACTGAGCTGCAGATATCAATATAATTCTATAATTAGTTTATCCCACACAGTCAAACCCAACCTACTTACAAAGATAGTATTATATACAAAAAAAGGAATTATCACAGTTTTTTTTCCATATATAACATTTGTTTTTGACACAGCAAAATTCCTCCTTTATTTTAGGTGCAGCAAGAAAATTATCTAAGCTGCATGTACATGCACATTGAAGATGTCATAGCAAACTGGCAGAAAGATCCCTTAAGGACTAGAAAAGAAGTGTTAATTTAAGTCACTTAAAACAGAAAATTGGAGTATGAAATATTAAATCCTGTGAATAAAATAAATGGCATATGTGTGGCCGTTATAAACACTCATACAACTTTAACAACAGTAGGTTTGCAATCGTAATATTAAAAAATAATGAAAGCTTGTAACAAAACAAAATCAGCCAGAAAATAAAACATTTTTCCATGCATGCATTTTATGTTTCTTGTCCACAGAAATTTATTTCTGTTGGTAAGAAAATTAAACATATACAATTTTAAATAACACTGCGCAAAATTAGTTCTACTAAAATTTGTAAAACAGAAAAATGTCCTGAGAAACAAGCTTCTTTAATTCATTTTAAAATATAACTGTTTGAAACATAAAGTAAATGAAGAAAACAAAGTCACAATTCAGGCATCTATTTCTAATATATATACTACACACATCCTTAATCACCAAAGCTATCCCATCATGCAAAATAAGACCAACCTTTTGGTAAAATCCTCTGAAGTAACGAGCCAGAATCCGCCTTTTTATCCTTGACCTTATGATTAGTGTTGCAATCTGTTGCGGCATTTGTGGCACAGTCTGTATAATACATAAGAAGGACGACATCGAGGAGGAACCAGACCAATGATGTGGCGAGGACAATCTTGCAATACTGTAGTCTCAATCTGCTGACCATCTTGTAATCTTTGCCTTGTAAAGCAAATATAAAACAGCATGTTTAGTAATGTGTAAAGTTTCAAACATGTTAAAAACCACTCTGGAAACAATTGATAAATGAACTATAGATCTATTTTACAAAGTTTATCAAGCTCCCATTGGATAAATTCATGTATAAATAAAAAAATATTCATTGATAAAGGATTTATTCTCAAATGAAAATAAATCTTACCAAGTGTAAACATTGAATTACAATATCATTTAGAAAGATTTAAATAATTTTTTAATAAAAAATAGTTTAACAGGGAAGTTAAAATTCAAAAAATAATCCATAAAATATAAGTGACTTTATGAACCATGTAATTTATTACATTAAGCTTGGGCAAAAAACAATCAAAAAAAATTAGAATACTCACTTTAATTTAACAAGTTAAGACAGTTGTTCATTTAATAAATTTTGGTCAATATTCTTGTCTGTCATGCACTGACATAGACATCCAGCAAATACAGTACTGTAAATGTAATGGAAAATGATAACCTCATCAATACCAGCATAACTGAACATGTTTCATAAGTTTTTACCCTTTTACATAAAAATTAAGCACATAAACAAAAATGGCAAGCTTAAACCCTGAATTTAATATTCAGAAGTTATTGAGAAATAATCATAGTAAGATATACTTTCTTTTTGTTTGTTGTATTTCTTTCCTTCTGGCTTCCAAAACTTCATAACCCGCTTTTTAAACATTTTTTCTTTCATCTGATGTGGCATTAAAGTTGAAACTTATAAGTATTATGAAACCTAACCATAATAAGTATACCTTAAAGGCTTAATAAAACCTTGTTTGAAACTAGTTGGTACTTCAACATCATTCAACCTCATGTTCCGTATTAATTTTTTATATACTTGGCATTATATACATTAATCAGCTTATGCTTCAGTTTACTTTATAAAGTGCTTCATGAACATATACGTGCAAGAATTCAGGCAAGATTTTTGGTGGACTTTTCCTAAAGTTATCTTCAGCATACCTGTCCTGTTACTTATAAGGAAGTGGCTAGCCGTGCTAGCCAAAGGTTCTAACCGTACATGAGTCACGTACCACTAGCCAGGACTCACTGTACTGTTTAGCCGTACGGCACTTTTCAAAATTATATGGAAGTTGAACATGCATATGTTATTTTGTGCCTGACATGATTATGATTTGTTGTTTTATTTGTATGAAAGATGAATTTTTGTTAATTAAGCACATGGATCGAATAAATAATGATCGGAGTGGAATAAATATAAAGAACATTAAAAAAAAAAAACGGTGAAAAGCAAAAATAATTGTATAATTTTCAAATACAGTAGATAAATATCGAACATAAAAGCACAATCAATTAATAAGCCTTTATTTAAAGCCTACTCAGGGACTGACAATAGAATTTTAAAATGCGTTTCACGGAACATGCAAACTTTCCTTATATTAACAAACTTCTAAACCATCGGTAATTGACGCAATTATCAGAGCCCAACAACAATATTTTTCGGCTTGATTTTTGTTTCATTTTAAAGGTGTCGAAAATTAAACTTAATAAAACAAAATAGGATTATCATCAAAATTTTGTAAACTATTTCAATTGATGTTATTAAATGCTACCAAATGCTATTTTCTCTCAACGTCTTGAGATGACAAAGATCGATATTCGTACTTTTTTTACTGTAGCCAACAAGGCGATTTAAATCTCTAAAAATTAACATACAGAGACAATTGCTGTTTCTTGGTTAAAATCCTCGCTTAAAGTCATAAAATAACATATGCATTTTCGACTTCCATATAATTTTGAAAAAATGATGTACAGCTAGCCAATACAGTGTGTCCTTGCTAGTCGCACTAAACTCACATACGGCTAGAACATTTGGCTAGCCGTACGGGCCCTTACAGCTAGCCACTTCCTACTTATAGTTATAAAAACTGGTATGCTGAAGACCATAAGCTTGTATTTGTGATGACTAAAATAAAGACATGATGACAATTTATATCACAGATTGATAATGCTTCAATATTTCACGTTTTTTGTTTGTCTCTCAGTCTGCAAATTGCTTGCCAAGCACCTAGTCCTATAAATATGACGTCGCTTTGAGATATTTTTGCTTCTGGGCAAAGCAACGTCATATCGAAATTGCTCAAAAACCCATAGCATGTTCCGCCAGAAAATCGGGCGGAACAAAAAACAATGAAGACAGCGTGTATTTACATATTTTTTGACCTATTTATGAACAAAACTAAAAAATAAATACCTTTTGTCAAAATAATTAAACTGTCACATCCGAAAAATCACGATTAAATCCTCTCATGTATTTCAATTCCTTTTACAGCCGATAAACAAATGGCGGCCGTAAAGTGCGCGAAATCTGATTGGCTTATTCAAATGCAAGCGTTTAACTGAGTCAGAACAATCTAACGGAATATTTTTTTAACGAAATAATTGCCCATGCACCGTCAGTGTGTTCGAATATATTTTTCCGTTTAAAAATTTGGAATCAATCTGTAAAGCACCTTGCTTAACCAGTATGGCTGATAGACAAAAATAGATTGATGTTTATATTTTATTTTAAATTGATAAGTACATCGTTTGACAGTTTTTGTGTATGATTGAGCATAGAATTGAAAGAAAATATGATAATCTTTTGAATAAAGCTTGAAAGGCAAGACAATAGACATTTTTTGATTTTTTTATGATGCTACGCGTTTTTGAGCAATAACTATTAGACGTCAGGCTAGACCGACAAAAACTATAACAAGCCTGTAACGTCTAATATATTGGACTAGCCAAGCACCATACATCTATATCAATTTCCTTCATTTTTTTAGTAGAAACGGTTTACTAAAGTGAAAATCTTCTATGGTCAGAAAACGCTTTTCATCTTGGTGAAGAGTCATAATAGAATAAATGTATTTTCTCTATTTTATGATATAGTTATACACTCCTTACCTTCTAGATCTAGATTCTACTCATTCAAAATATTTTTTTTCTTCTTGCAAAATTATACCAGATTTTTTCGATGCAGAAATAAACACTGTTCTGCGAAAGCAACAATACTGAAGAAAAATAGCAAAATAGCTTCTTAATTAAACTTAACTCATCAGATCCAAATATGCAACATAGTTACCTCTATCTAACGGAAAACTATCATTTTACTGCAAGATTATTGATTCCACGTCTACTTTCCAAAAGCCGGAAGTTATAACTGTAGGGCTAAACTAATGACGAATACAGTTCACGGCTGGGAATCTGTATCGTTGTCGTCTTCACTAGGTTTCTTACCGTAAACTTTTGTATGCTTTTTTTCGCGAGGGGTATGGATATTTGGGTAGCGTATTTCTCTTTGTTAATTACTGTACTATATTAATATATTAATTCTTTTTAAAAATATATTTCAGCTTTCTTTCTTACTTTTGTACATTTGTAAACATGTTACCTTCGTCTGGGACATAAGATGGTTATCTTATGTCCCAGCCTTCATGAAACAAACAAACAGATCTTGTATTCTCCTTGACTTTAGTAAAGCCTTTGATAAAGTAAATCATCGTAAACTACTTCTTACCCTTCAAGAAAACGGTGTCTCCACACAAATTCCCAATTGGACATGTTTCTTCCTGACAGGTCTAAGCCAAACTGTTATACTGGATGATGAACACTCTACACAAGTCCCCGTAAATTCTGGCGTCCCTCAAGGCTCTGTTCTTGGCCCACTCTGCTTTCTGATCTATATTAATGAACTTCCAGCTTCTTTCTCCAAGTCTCAAATTCGCCTCTTTGCAGATGACACTGTGGTTTACATTACTATAAACTCGTCCTCAGGCTCGCAATCCCTACAGGAGGATCTCAATAAGATGCAAATCTTGGAAAGGGAGTGGGACATGGAATTCAACCCCTCAAAATGTCAAGTCTTTCACATCACTAAAAACAAAACAAGTACTTCCTTCATGGTCAAGCTTTAACATCGATATCAGTTCCTACATGTAGCTCAAAATACCTTGGCCTTGACTTGTCCGCAGACCTAAACTACAACACACACATCTAAAAAATTACATCAAATGCAAATAAAACCCAAGGATTCATAAAACGAAATATCAATACAAAAAATGAAAAAGTAGAACAACTAGCTTATAAATCCTAGACTAGTAAGACCCCAGCTAGAATATGCATCAACTGTTTGGAGCCCCTACACACAGTCAAACGTCCAAAAAACGAGATGGTCCAAAGACGAGCGATACGCTGGGTAAAACAAGATTACTCCCCCTTGTCATCAGTTACAGCCATGCAGAAAGATCTTGGCTGGCGTTCTCTCGAGCATCGCAGACAAGACTTTAGACTTATTATGTTTTTTTAAAATTTGCCATAATCTAGTAGCCATGAGCCATCCAACCTACATTAAGACTCCATCTAGGCTTACTAGACATATGCATCCCCTCTCTCTTAGGAAAATACAGGTTACATCAGATTACCATAAGTTCTCGTTTTCCTCACACTTTGGAACCAGCTCCCAAGGAACATTGTCACCCTGCCTGATCTAGATCAATACAAACAGGCAGTAGTTAGGATACAGTATTAGTTGATTTGTTATGTTTTTACTTTTAAATCTTTCTTTCATCCTTACTTATAAAACATTTTAACAATGACTAGAAGTTTTCAATGTCTATCACTGTCCTGATGTTCATTTTCAGGTTTTTACTTTCACTTACACACCCGACGCGCACTATTCCTGCTTATAACACTCGCGAGAGGGGTTGGCAGTACTCAAAGATAGATGAAACAAAAATATCGATCAACATCATCGTCCTTATCATCGTCAGCATGACAATCATTAATTATTATATTATTATTCTTTCTTTCTCTCCCCCCCTCTCTCTCTCTCTCTTTCTCTCCCTTTTCGTCTTCTTTTTTCTTCTTCTTCTTCTTCTTCTTCTTCTTATGTGTGGAGATAAGGAAATATTATTTGTCGAAAGGACAAAAATGTAAATAACCAATGTTTTTGCAATAAATTTAAATGAAAACAAAAAATGGGAACCAAAATGTTTAGCATATGCATGTGAATATGTTTTTATTTACTTTGCAATAATTTCTTTTTACATGTACTCGCATAATTAAGTCCACCATTCCGCAGTAAATCATGCGATTAAAGACTCGGCTGCTTTGCACCCGAATAAAAGACTGTTGTTGCGCTACCAATAAAAAGTTAGTACGTAGTAAACATGTTTGGTTGGTAAACTCTCTCACCCCTCGGTAAAATGCCCATCGTGGTGAGGCACGCGGCATCGGCAGAAGATTTGGAGTTTGGCTGAACGGACATGTTGACTGGTACGTTTTAACGATCCGAGATTTTGGCAGATCCTAGATGTCAAACTAACCTGTACCTTGTCGGGGAGTTAAGCTTCTATCGAAATCTACGAACCAGCTGTTGATGTCCTGGCTGAAGAAAAGGGAATGACCCTACAAAGTAGACAGGGACGACGAAGAAGGGCACTAATGGATGCGTGAGCCACTAGTACGAAGAGACGGAGTCCTTATTAGGACTACATGTATATTAAGTTCTTTCATTATTGACAAAGGTTTCTGTACCGTATGGTGCTCAATGACCGCTGCACAGTGGCCTTCTTTTGGCTCAAAATTTATTTCTTTGGCATATAAATACTCTATGGAAACTGCGAGGGAAGAAATTATCACCACCTTATTTTTCATAATTTACTTTTTAAGGGCATGGCTGGTAGCATGTCCGGGGTCTGCACTCGAGAGGTAAAAGGTGCATATTTTGCCTTTAAGCGCGGAGGGACGGTCATAAGCATACAATATACTTCGTACATGGTTGGTAAAATGTGTAAACAAATTGTTGAACAGTTATATCGTCGTACATCTGAACTGGGACAGAATAACTTCTGATCTTGGGGACAAAATAACTTCTCTTCCAGATCTTAAGTTTACTGATCATTTGAGTTGGCCAATCGCAACTTTTCGACCCTTTCCGTCAGTCTTCGGAGTTATTATTAATAAAAGTCGAGATGTTCCGATTAGTGAGTTGGCGTCTATTCATCCACGCATTATTTCAGACTCCAGGGGTTACTTAATTATATCCATTCAGCGCATTAAAATATCAGAAATTCTGAAGTACATGTACCTGATGTTTTTTAAACTTGCGGCAGAAATGGGCAAGCGATTAAATTTAAGTGACCAGAGTCACAAGCGACGGAATTATTGTTGCGTCACTAACTTAGATATGTACTTTGCTCATCCTTGAGTAAAATGTTTTAATCACAGAAATAAATTGAATTTCTTACTGAATATGTCAAAATTGAATAAAAGAATGAATAAACTATGTATGGGAGGATGCGTTCCTATTATGGGTCAAGTACAGTTGGTTTATTCATTAAAAGCCCCCCCCCCCCCAAAAAAAAAAACACAAAAAAAAGAATGACAGTTTTTTAATGACACTTTTTGTTCATGTTGTGATCACCTATACTAGTAGTGTATAGAATTTTGAACATAACATATCTACTTTATGTTTATTTTAAGGTAAGATTTATTTTGGCATAATGTATTAACATGGTTATATAACACATGGAGTGAGAGGAGCACAAAAACCATGACATTCACATAACACAAAAAAGGGTAAGCCCTTATTTCCAGTGTGGTCCAATGATAATGTGTCTGTCGCTGTTATATTTCATATTCGAGCACAGTTGTTCAGCACCGTTTATCACGGGCTTTCAAAATTAACATTATCAAAGTTGCTTGCGGGGATAATGTATAATAGGAGTCACCTAGTTGGTCGGAAGAATGAATGTGAACTTTGAGTTATAAACTAAATAAGTATAACAATAATCTTATGTAAACTTTAAAAAGGTTATGGCTATGGTTATGAAAGTAAAAATTATTATATCTTTTTATAGATTTTTAAGACTGAATAAAGAAATTACTGAAACTGTTTTTGAGTTATTTCCATGTTATTGTTTACTGTCACATTTAAAGGGAGGTTATACATGACCCCCACGTTCAACAGGACAGCTAGAGTTATCTTTACATTAAACATAGGTGTTAGATTTTTTATTTTTTTGTGGGAAATGAAGGAAATTGAATTAAAAGCATAAACCAAATATTAAAACATGACTCAAATGAAAAAATACTGCAGTTTACATGGTATTGAGAGGAAGGAGAGTTGTAGAGTGGGTTTGGGGGGGGGGGGGATTTTGCACAAAAATGTGTTAAAATGTTGGCCTTGATCGAGTGTCTGCAAAGGATAAACAGGTGATAGGCTATCATCTACAGTAAAGATTGAATCAGCGGCAGCCACAAAACAGAAATGTCTCAAAACTTACTCGTTGTTCTCAACCATCTTTCTTAAGCAGGTAATTAATATATATAGTGGTACAACGCTTATCTAAGGGCTAAGTAATTTTTTTCATTTTATACCATAATAAAGAAGTACATGTATAATAAAACTAGGATAATTTCTTCAAACCTATGTTTCCAAACAGTACGATAATATGATAAAAACTCAACTGCGGTTGGCTTTATAACTACAAATCTCTTGAACAAATTTGCAAGTCCCTTCGGGTTCGAGCGAAATCAGTTTGACTAAAATATATTTTTGTTATCAATTACAGCAAAATTAACAGAGTTTCGTCCACTAAGATTACATACGGGAAATACCCATCAAACATCGGCAGAAAAATATACATATATAAAGACACCATACTTGAGAAAGTCAATGCTTTACATCAATCCTTTTTCCATTCTTCGAAATCTGTGTCAGCAAAAATACCATAAAAAAGAAACGGGGATAAGATATCTCAGTAATTTCTCTTTAACTATTATACACTCAAAACCAACATAATAAATTATATCCTCATTCTTGTGCAAAAAACGAGCGTACTACATTTCATAATGATTTACAACCATATTAAATAATAAAAAAATGCTAAAACGCGACGTGATTGAGCACAAGAAACTCATTGGCAGTAACAATTAAAAGAACTCTAGGACATATTTTGAGTTATCACAAGAACTCCGGGACATTTGAAAAATCGGGTATAAATTTGTTAGCCGGGGCTTTATGTTTGCAATTTTGCATTATATATGGTAATTATGTATGGCAAGGATGAAGACTTGAAATAAACAGGTCAATACTTGCGAATTGGCAAATCATTGGAAATTTTACTCAAAACTTCCAGATTTTAAGCAAGAGGCGATGA